ACGAGAAAAGATTCGTTCACACAATCTTGAAACGCACAAACTACGAAAAAACTCGAGCGAAGAAAAAAATCGATAACGAAAACCTTCTCTTCCACTTCATACAGAGCTTCATTTTCCATACCGATTTATCGCAGTTTCCACCGTAGCTAAAATTTCAGCATCTAATCTGATCACTTCCACTTTCCCTGTACAACAAGCCCACATCACTACGAACTCCCTCTTCAATTACATGAAGAAAAGTGCAGTCATCACCAAAAGGGCAAACTACACCACCCGAAAACCAATGACACACTTTCGATTCGTAAACGGAATTTCTCCAACTATCCTCCTCCTCGTTCATACAGTGCACACCAGGTCAGCTGGTCTGTGGAAATTGGAAAATGTTATCCCCCATCTCTGTGTGTCTGTGTTGCATGTGTGTGTGTATTGCAGCAATCAAAGAGAATAATCAATCATATTTTTATTTTTTTTCTGGATCAGTTGAACACGTTTAATGCTAATAAACTCATAATCGACTCGATTTGTAATTGGTAATTCGTATCTACCTTGGCTAAGAAATGAACTTCCGAATAACTACACTGTAAATACCAACAATTTATTTACTCAATGAATCCCTTCTTTTTGTGGAATTTGAAGAACTGATGCAGCAATCTGTGAACTTCTCCGTAATTGGGAACTGTAGGAACCAGCTGATTCTTGATCCATTTTGGCAGCTTTTCCGTCGAGTGGGAAAACCCTCTTTTTGTCGAATCAGAAGCATAACGTGCATCGACCAATAGGATCGCTGCATAATCATTTCTATGCCGAATTGCTCTGCCTACAAATCAAAGAAAATCACACAATCAAGAAAATCACACCTATATAATAAGAAGCCATACGTAGGATCTTCAAGCAGCATGCACTTACCTATATCGATTGATTCACAGCTTTCATGCAAAGATTATCGTAATACTCTTTTCCTTTGCCCTTACATTTTTTAAGAACATGAAAACCTGTCTCACCACAGACAGGATTATTACTCGGGATTGTTCGACCAAGGCCTTCAATATGCTTCAGCCTTTCCATCAATTCAACATCCGACGGGCTAGGATAGGGCAATCCGACCATTACTATGCAACGACCCGCCCCGTCACTGAAATTGATACCTTCGGATATTTTCCCACCAACAACAGCAAGGAGAATCGCACCATTGCAAGATGTGGGACCATTAACCACCAAATCATCAATCTTTTGTTTGTATTCTCTCAAGACAGCTTCAACATCTGTACTCTTTCTCGGTTCTCTAAAGATTTGCTTCCTCTTACTAATTCTTGAAAGAATCCCCGATGCCTTCCATGCATCATAGACTCGGCTCTCATAATCAAATGACGAGAAAAATACAACTACACCTTCCGGAACAACTGATACTAGATTAGACAGCATAAGTCCTAGCTCTTCAATCTGCAATTTCAGTCCAAAGTGGAGTTTACGAACAAATACTATTCTACTTAGTATATTGTATTAACCAGAGTGGAAAGTGAGCTTCGTACCACGGTTGGCGAGCTTCTGTTTTTGAAACTAAAATCGAAGGACTGACCCGAAGGTCCATGCTTAACAGCGATCGGCAAAATATTTTCAGACGGAATTATATGACCGCACGAAAAGAATGGTAACTGATGCAGCTGTATTGATGGGAAGAGTCTTTCTTTTGTTTCCTCTATAGGTTGCAAAGTTCCTCCAGCCAAAATGATAGCATGAGCTTGATCGACAACCTATCCAAATTAATTGTTTATCGTGATTCAAGAAAAAAAAAAAAAAATCGAAGATAAAATAGATGCAGAGTTAGCAATCAGGCAAACCTCGGAAAACATTTTTTCTCCGGTAAGCATAACATATTTTATGTATCCTCCTTCGAGACCCTTGATTTGTCAAAAGAATGCGGCGCTAATCTCTTCTAATCATAAACGGGGAGGTAAGAAAATTTTCGTAATATTCATCAAATCCACTTTTATCCAAGGAAACACTTACAAATATACCTTCAATTTAGAAGTGCCGTTTTTCCTATCCTTTTGAAGCTCCAAGCACCTCTCATTTACACGAGTCGAATTCCCCAGCTTCAGCACCTCTAAAAAAAACATTCATCATACTCAAATTCAAACACCTACTATTGCAAAAATCGCAATACAAGCATGTAAACTAGGGTGGGTTAAAAAAAAAACATTCGCGTACCTTCATTGATGCAGAAGTTCTTCCTCGAAGCCAAGCAAACAACCCTCAACTCAGTAGCAAATTTAGTCTTCGTCAGCTCTTTCATAAACTGCGAAAGCTGAGAATGTGTCCTGCTACAAAAGTAAACTTTCAACCGAGTCTCCACTTCCTCCTCACCCAACCCATCCACCTCCTCTTCCTCTTCTTCTCCGCTCGATAAAAAATCCTCCGCTTCACCGTTCTTCCTTTTTCGATTTCCGATCATTTTCTGCATCACTATCATATTCTTCCAATAAAAAAAGTCGCATCATCCACCTCATCAACCCCAGTTTTGACCAATCGTCTAACAATTTCTTACGACGAAAGATCATCCTTGTTCAGTCGACCTCACCGCACCAGATTGTGATGAACGAAACCATGGAAGAAGATGGTGGCATGGATAGAATATCGAATCTTCCAGAAGAAATATTGCACTACATATATATTCTATTTCATGTCGAAAAGGGAGGCAACTAAAACTTGCGTCTTGTCGAAATCATGGCGTCGTGTTTGGACCAATCGGCTAACAATTTCTTACGACGAGAGATCATCCTTATTCAGTGGACCAGATTATTCATCTCCCGTGTGACCAACTCATTACAATCACACCTCGATCACAAACATCGTATAGAAGAGTTTCAACTTGTTTTCACCAACCGTTCCGAATTAATCGATCATTTCAATTTTCGAAAAGTGGATTCCGATGCTCACATCTATTCGTGTCAAGGAGTTGTTTCTTTGTATTCTCCCCGGACCTTGATCTCCCCTCCGTTTTCATCAAGGCCGAATCCCTCATGAGTTTACATCTCTTTCGTCGCAAGTTGGGCCAAAAGAATATTCCGATGCTCTTTGGTGGTCGTCTTAAAGTACTTCGCCTACGCTATGTGAACTTCACGGACAAACATATTTTCATAGATTGTTGATGATTGATAATAATAAAGCCATGCATGCATGCACCTGTTTGTGGAGAATTTGAAATAAACAAAACGACATCGTTTTTGGCCAACCGGGCCGCTTGAAATAATTTACATGGGCTTCAGTAATTTTGATTAATTGGCCCGATTGAGATACTAGCCCATGATCCAATTATTATTAATTTCAGCCCATTTATAATTAAATATTTCAGAAATATTCTAATATTTCTTTCTCAAATTATGAATACAGACTTGATGTTTGCCCTCAAGCCCTCAACCCTCTCTCTCTCTCTCTCTCTCTCTCTCTCTCTCTCTCTCTCTCTCTAATGCTTTAAAAATTATTTATCTGAAAATAATAAATATCATAGTTAGTGTTAACAATTATAGAAGCTAGATAAATAAAATTCATCCTCAAAGAGTCAATTTCTCAACCATTATCATTAATTAATTAATTCTCATTAAAAATCAATCATCTAAAATTCACATTATTATTTGAAAAAATAATGAAAATTATGATCGTCACGAAAATATATTTGTTATAAGTTTCGAGTTACGATTTGAGAGATATTAAAAATAAAAGAAAGAGTTATAAAAGGATAGTTAATTAGATGGGTCTCTCCTTCCTAAAATAAGAATCGAGATATTTAATTTTAATTGGAAATTAAAATTAGACTTGTACAAGGATTTATAAAGCTTATAAATAGAGGACGTCGCCTGATTTTCCTAATCTCACGTTATTCTTCCCTTTTCTCTTCTTTTAAATTACTTTTGACAGAAAGCCTGATTTCTGTGAGGTGTGAGGACTTCGGTTCTGTGAGGACTTCGGTGAGACCAGCGATCTAAAGAGCTTGGGTAATCAAATCTCGTTTGCGATCTAAAGAGCTTGGGTATGTAATTAAATCTCGTTAATTAATAGAACCTGAGCTTGGGTATGTAATTAAATCTCGTTAATAGAACCTGGGTATGTAATCAAATAATAGGATTAATTTAACTTGATTCGCATGTTTTATTTGAATTTATTTAAACACATGATCTAAAGCATATTAATAGATTATGCCTCATTGAATTGTTCATAAAATTTGCATGTTCAACTTGAATTTATTTAAACACATGATCTAAAGCATATTAATAGATTATGTCTCGTTGAATTGTTCATAAAATTTGCATGTTCAACGGGTATGTAATCAAATCTCGTTAATTAGTAGGATTAATTTATTTAATTACTTGATTACTTGATTTTGCATGTTTTATTTGAATTTATGCATTTGAATTTATTTAAGCATGCCAATAGATTATGCCTCATTGATGAATTTATTATTCATAAAATTTGCACGATAGAAAAATTTTCTCTAGTTCAGCCGTATGCATGTAGATCCCAATAATTCATTTGTATGTTATTAAATTCAACATAATCTTCTAGATTTCATGGAACGATCTCTAGTTTGTACTCGTTTTGTGCAAAAATGCAGATTTTGATGTACCACAATCTAATATTTACAACCCAAAAAACACATTTAATGATTATATGCTTCAAAACGTAGAGCTTGAATGAGATATGGGTAGGGCTCGAATGGGATATGAGATAAAACGAGATAAAACGAGTACAAACTTGAGAATATTTCATATAATTTTGAAGATTTCACTAAATTTGACTCCACAGTGGTGGTAGTGTAAGAAAGATTTATAGTTTTTTTTTTTTTTTTTTTTTGTAATTATCCAAATACGAGGGATTTTTTTCGTAATTTGACCATCTAGCTTATTGTATGTTACCCTATAAATAATTATAAACTTGCGGTTAACTTGTTTTATTTTTTTCAAATAAATAGTTGAAATTTTCATGACTAGGGTTTTAATTAGGCGATGGATGAAAGAGTTGAAGAAGAAGACAGGATATCGAATCTTCCAGAAGAAATACTGTACAACATACTATATTTCATGCCCAAAAAGGATGCAGCTCAAACTTGTGTCTTGTCCAAATCATGGCGTTTTCTTTGGCAAAACAGGCTAACAATTTCTTACAGTGAGGGATCATCCTTATTCAGTGGGCCTCACCGCACCAGATTATTCATCAACGCTGTACAGTCACACCTCAGCAAAGACAATCATCATCGTATAGAGGAGTTTCACCTCGATTTAAATAGTTCCGATTCCGCTTCCCTTCTCGAAAACTGGATCCCAATGCTCAAGTCAATCGGTGTCAAGGACTTTTTTCTTTCTATTGATCTCCATGCACCCGAACCCGAACAACCTTCGTCGTCGTCGTCGTCCTACTTTCATCTCCCCTCCGTTTTCTTTCAAGCCGAATCTCTCACCAGTTTACGTCTCGTTCGATGCAAGTTCCCCCAATACGACCGCATCGTACACTTTCATCGTCTCGAAGTAATTTGTCTACGCAACGTCGAGTTCACCGACCAACATACTATCAATAAGATATTCTCGACCTGCCCTTTGATCACAAGTATTCATCTCGAAGAGTGTAAAGGCTTGCATTTAACGAACATCGACGTATTCCTCAAACATCTCAAGCACTTCACTTTCATTAACAAACAATTCAAAGACGAATTCTGCGGCATTGACATCCTGTCGGTCTCCACTATTGAAACAATCCACATTCATGGCAGCAGTACTCGATTTCGATTTCACGGCCATAATTTTACTTATCTCAAGGAACTGTCTCTAAAGTTCGTGATATACTCCACCGACTCGTTCGACTTTTCTTCATGTTACGAATTCCCACTCCTTGAAAGCTTCGATATTACCGGTTCTGGATTGGAAGATATAAATCTACGTATGCATGCCCCGAAAATATTGCATTTTAAATGTCTAGGGTACAATAGTATCCCATCCATCAGTTTTACTACGCCAATGTCGAGGCAGTGCAGATCGGTTTTGGGCTTTCGGTGTCGTCACCCAGAATCAAACTGGTTCCTCGAGCTAAGTGTACTTCTCCATGCGTTCAGTCAATCTCAAATTTATCTCACTGTTTTTTTAGATCCCATGCCAAACATTCTCAACATCAAACGAGAGGTTATTGATAATATTGATGGTGTTGATGTGGAAGAATTGGGATTAAATATGGTTCATCCGTCTCCGTTTACAACTTTTCTAGACTGTATGTTTAGTATTTTTCGTCCGAGGAACATAGTTCAGCACTCGTACGTGCTAGAGTCTCACATCGAAAGGGATCAAAAGCACCTCACCGAGTTTTTGTGCAACTTCCTAACTATGAAGAGATGGGAATTTACAAGGAAAGAAGATTTGGAGGAAGTAAGGATCGAAAGCTTCGATGCGGATAATCAACAATGGGAACCTGTACTATTGTCGGAATGTGCATTATTGCCGAAGAGTAAAAACCGTGTCCGCTTTCAATTGAAATGGAGTGAAGATGCTAATCGTGACGAGGAGTCCAGTTCTTCTAAGCGTCGCAAGTTGGAATAATTATATAGATACTATTTTTATTTAATGACTTCAAACAAATTCTGAGACAAGTTTTTTTTCCTTTTATTTTTCGTCTGTGTTTTTTGCTTTCCTCTCCATTTTCAATATTACAGGTTATATGTCTCTATTCACATCTCCCATTATTTATAATTGCACGTGCAATATTTATAATTGTTGTATTTCAATAGCCTGTGAGTCGTACGGGTCAAGTTACTAGTTATAGTTACCGACTAATAATGAAGTGGTCAATGAAGTCAACAACTAATTAAGGAGGCGACCACGTTCACTTCCATCAAGGTCTACGAAGGAAAGTTTGCCGGCAACTCGGGCAGGTTAAGTTTCACTGCCATCGAAGAATGGCGAGAGAACGAGAAGATTACTCATTTGCCCCTGTGATGCAAGTACTTGGTGTTGCTTTACCTTTCTCTATGAGTTCTTTGACAATCATTTCTCATGCAATGTTTTGTTCAGTTGGAAAAGTATTATTTCAAAAAAAATGAAAAAAAATTATGGCTGCCTTCGTGGACTATGTTTTCTCGTTCTCTTCAATTTTTTATTAATATTTTTTATTTTTTTAATAATTATCTAAACTGAGAGGGGTCATGTTTTTGTAATTTCAGAGTTTAGACCGAACGTTGTTAAGGTCAAATGTCCGACAATTAACAGTAAGAGCCACATTGATAGAAATTTTCAAGTGCATGGGGGAATCGATGTCATCGGGAGTAGAATGGGTAAAGTAATACCGAACCAAAGTAAAATGGGGAAAGTGGAATTTATCCAAAAAAAATACTCTAGAATGTACCTAGAATTATGGAATGATGTAGAGAGCCACCAATAACTATATGATTAAATCAATCACCATTATTCATAATGATGGAGTAGTATAAATACGAGTAAACCGACTTGACACAACTTACCGTCTTCCGAGGAAGACCGTCGTCGGGCTGAGGAAGACCGGCACCAATAACTATATGATTAAATCAATCACCATTATTCATTAAAGATGGAGTAGTATAAATACGAGTAAACCGACTTGACACAACTTACCGTCTTCCGAGGAAGACCGGCGTCGGGCTGAGGAAGACCGGCGTCGGGCTAGAGGAAGACCGGCGTCGGGCCGAGGCATCATAGGGCCGAGGAATCCAACGTAATATAAGTTGAAAAAAATGTTTAGTATTTGTCATCCAAGCAAAGTAGTTTAGTATTTGTCGTCAAAGCAAAGTAGTTCTGCACTTGTCCATGCGAGACTCTAACAAAGAAATGTATCAAAACAAACTAGATGTGTTTTTGTGCAACTTACTAATAAAGAGTGCATTTACTTACTTATTGATATATTTGACAGTAATTTCATTTTCTTAGGCTTTTAGTCATGTGTTTTAATTAGGTGATGACAAAACCATTTACCACTCATTCTTCCAAACGGATTATACACTAATAAAGAGTGCATTTACCATGTTGTTATTAATTTATTCGGCAGTAATTTCATTTTCTTAGGCTTATAGTCATGTGTTTTAATTAGGTGATGACAAAACCATTTACCACTCATTCTTCCAAACGGATTATACAACAGCGCGCAGCTTTACATTGCAGTACCATTTCTAACTAGTACCAGAAAACGGCTAAAATGATCAACAACATATAAATAAAACATATACTCCCGAACACAAGCAAAGGGTAATAGTTTAATCAAGTTACAATAGACCCTTGTCATTTCCTCTTAAATATATAAGTACCGATAATAAACACAAAATAATAGTCCCCATTGTTACCGGCTATCTCACAAATCAAGTGTCGACTCAAGAACAGAGCTTCCCGGCCAGTTTACTTCCACCTGCAACAAAGAACATCAAAATCCAAAATTTAATCCGTTAGCAACAAAAAAGAAATTAATTGACAATGGAAAAAAAGTTGAGCATTATTAAAAAGGAAGCAAAGTCCCGAACTCACGAGACAGTTTAGGGAGTTCTGAACTTTTCAACACACGAAGCCTCTTCACTGTCGAGACAAACATGCTGCAAAAAACACGACAAAATCGAAATAAATATATATTTAAAAAAAAAATTCCAATTTAGTCGAAAACATGCAAATATACGAGCATTCGCAAAAATTTCGTGGACAATCAACAAGAATAACTAGTATATATGATCGTACATTTGTGTATCGATTATTCAACCAAGACAGAGAATTTTCATGTGCATATAAGAGCCAAAACACAAGAGACCAATATATAAATTAAAATAAAAAGGAATCCTTTTATATGTTTTTCGATAATTAATTAAAGATGCTTACTGCCAAGGTACATCTCCAACAAGCATTCTGTCACCTTCGTTATCCTCGTAAACAAGGGTATATTCCCCACTTCCATCCAACAATCCTCCGATCCCTTTCCCTCCATTTTCTCTGTCTTTCGTTTCACCGACACAAGATTCACTTTGCGCTACATGCACAAACACCAATCAAAACAAACAAACAAGAATCAAGAACATTATACACAACATTCTAGTATTTTTTTTTCGAATAATTAATAATTTCTCAAACGTTGGAATTAGGGAATTATAATTTTAACCAGCAAGAAGGTCTCGGAAGAGCTCATCGACCGCGTACGATAGCTTCTCGTAACTGTGGTACGCTTTTAGATCAATTTTTCTTCCGATCGGAATCCCATCCATGTTGATCTTCACAAACGGTCTACTCGACCCGTTCTCCGCGGGTTTCGACCCGGAATCTTTGCCCGGGTCCGCATCCGGTGATTCGGACGACAACTTGGAGGAATTCCCACTCGCAAGATTCTTTCGGAACGAACGAATTGGAGGCCACCCCACCACCGGAGAAGGTGCAGTCCTGTTTTTTTTATTACAAAAATTACAACAAGTTAGTTCTTAGCTTTCTTGACTAATCAAACCCTAACTATGACAAGTTATATATATATATATATATATATATATATATATATATATATATATATATATATATATATATATATATATATATATATATATATATATATATATATATATATATATATATATATATATATATATATATATATATATATATATATATATATATATATATATATATATATATATATATATATATATATATATATATATATATATATATATATATATATATATATATATATACATATAAAGCAAGATTTGCATATAAAATTATTACAGTAAACAAGAACATGATGAGGATAAGTAAATTGCCAAGAAAAGCTACACTATACAATACAGCCATGTAATTATTAGCCAAGATAGTAATTAAATTGATGGAATATTTATTTAATTCTTTTCACGAATGAAAAATAGTTTAAAAAAAAACAAAAACAAATGCAAAAAGCTGAGGCCACCTTTTCTGACTGTTGGGTACAGCTGTATTAATATTTGCAGGAGCTGCTGAAAATCCCTTCTTTTGATCTGCTGCTGCACCCTGCTCCACCCTATTGTTACATGGCTGTGACGGTTCATTCATGACAGACTGAAGGTGGAGAAAGGAAGGAGCTTTCATCTGCTGCTGCTGCCATGGAAGAGATGGTTTCAAGGCACCTGGGGTTTGAAAGTAGCCAAAGGAGTAGTGTAGAGATTCAAGGGGGGCATTTTGGGAAGAAGGTTTGTTGTTTTTATCGTCTGTGACGATGGTCCAGTCACCAGTTGGTGGACCAAGGCTCAGCTCGAGCTTTCTCTCTCCTGAAAGGCCATGGCTTTTTTCATCTGCTGCCCTTTTGGCAACCCACTCTCTCTCTCTAGGAATCAAATCCAGCAGCTGTGGACTTCCATCTTCTTTTCTTGTGTAACCCTCCATTTTTTTTCTTTCTTCACTCACAGTAGATTATTTATGTATATATGTGCGTTGTTTCAAGATTCAGCTGAGAAAAGAGTGATAAAACAGAAAGCTGTTTCTGCAAGAACAAGAGAGAGAGAGAGTATTATTACCTTAAAGATTGAATTTTTATCAGTGATTTGTAGCTATATATTATATGGGAGAGAAGATTTACATGGAAATGGTTAGCCAAAGCTGAGAATCATGGAGAAAGACCGCATTTTTACGCATTAGCAGGCAGATTAATAAATAAAAATCGAATCTTTTCTTGTTCTTGCAAGAAGTGAGAGAGAGAGAGAGAAACTCAAAACCAGGAAAAGGGAGGAATTAAAACAAGGGAGTGAAATGCGAGAGAGAGAGATTATTTATTGCTTGTGGATTGCAAATCTTGCTTTTATGGCTTTGTTTTTAGGCACGCTCAGATTGAGTGTGGTGGGTTGTTTTTTTTGTCATTCATAGGCATAATAGCTCCCTCTCTCTCTCTCTCTCTCTCTCTCTCTCTATGATAAATACACGTACTACTATACTTTCTCTCTCCTCTTTTGCTTTTTCTAAAATACTTTGTTTAATCTTTCTAAGCCGTATGTGTGATGATGATGAACAAAGAAACAAGAACTTGGTCTGTGTCTGAGTGGAAAGTAAACACAGAGATAGAGAGAGAGAGAATTAAAAAAATAAATAAAAAGTAAGATTCTTTTCACTCAAAGTAGCCCTAAAACAAGAAACGGAATTAGAACAAAACGCACGCAACCCCTTAAAATTACTATATAATAACGTTGTTGTTCGGTTCCACAAGCAAAAAGCGTGTTTCTCTCTCTACCATTTCTCTCTCTACATTTCTCTCACTTGTGAATTAAGAAAGAGAGAAAAAAAGTGTAAACAACGCTAAAAACCAAATTAAACAATGACGCAAAGGGGTTCAGAATTTGGGACACTGCCCCAGAAAACATGCCCCTTTACTTCGTTTTAGAGCACCTTTTGATTTAATTAAAAAAAAATTAAAAAAGTATTTATATTAATAAATATGTATTTGGACTTTATAAAGTGTGATTAGCTTTTAATCATGAAATTAAACAAACCCTTTTAAATTAATCATGGTTCTCGCCTGTCAAAAATTGTAAACCAACTGCTATTAATGAGTATGGCAATTGGTATGGTACAAAAACAAGAGAGAGAAATTAAAGAAATAGGATTAATTAATTAATTAATTAATTAATTAATTGCATGATCCATAAATATATATTTGCAGGAGCAATAAAAACATGCAGATCCCATGATCTTGTCTGCTGTTGATGGGCTTTTATTTTGCCGCCCAAGATCATGAAAGAGGAAAATGGGTCAAAAAATGGACGGTCGTTATTCGTTTGATCCAACGGCGTGCAAAATAGTCCACGATTTTTTTTAGCATTTTTCTCCGTTATTGAATTGTCAAAGGAAGAAAAAATGGATAACAACATAAAAAATTAATAATATATTTGGGTCGGTTATATGGTTTCAATATATACCACAAATATTTTCCAATGTTAGCTATAAAATGAATTGAGATTATATTTAAATAGTAGAAGTCAATTAATCTTACCAACGTTTTTTTTAATTATTCTACATTGAAACCCAAAGAAATTAGCTTCACCCAATTACTTAATTTTATAGTTTTTTTTTTTTTTAATAAAAGAATCTGCAGCAAATCATACAGGTGCATTGAATAAACTTGCAGTCAATCATATAAGTGCATTGAGTAAACCTTCACTCTTGTATAATAATTAGCTTGTAAATGATACGAGAAACGTAAACCGCACTAGGCTAACCATGTGTGACAAGTAAACTCACAGTCAACCATATAACCATATATGTGCATTGGGTACGTAGAATATGCTTGCAAATAATTCGAGATACATAAATTACACTAGCTAATCATGTGCAACAAACTCGACCGAGCGACCAGTGGTAAGAGGATTCGAATTTGGGTCGATTGACATGAGTTCACTTGCTCCAACCACTGGACCGTCCCTTGTGGTGCGTATTTTATGGTTTAAAAGCTATGGTGTATTTTCAAGATACATATATATGGTGTATTTTCTTAATAATTGTACTATTTTTCAATAACATTTATTAAATTGAGGCAACCTACAAATTAAATACAATTCTTTAAATTCAATTAGTAGGTTTGTTTTGTTGTTCCCTTAGAGTCAAGCATCTTAACTTGCACTCCAAATTCTGCCTAATACAAGATTAATTAACTTAATTTGGTTTTCTAATTTGAAAATTAATCAATATATATAATTTCAAGGCTATACATATCGTTTTTATTAAGAAATTCAAGTCATTATCCATTGGAAAATCATGCAAAGATAAGCACGTGTGGATGGTATTTTAAGTCAAAGATTTCGATATATTTTAATTCATTGACCGAAAATGACTTGTCATTTGCATTTAATCATGAATACATTTCCTCAATTGTAATATTCATAGATGCCAAATTCAAATTCATATTACAGTAGTTAATATATTTTTAGAAACTTAAATACAAAACTTAATTAGTATATTAATTAATTAGTAGGGTTTCAGCGTTCAATAATGAAGGCAATAGGATGATGACGTAAGCCTAGCTCGGCTCGGCTGGCATGCTACAGCTTGGATACTGAGAGACGCCACCTCAAGCCATGTGAGACCCTTTGTCCTATTGATCGCCACGTGTGCAGGAATCCCACACGCTAAGCGCGTGGCTGAGTGAGGCTTGTTTTGCACTTTTTACTCTTTTAGACTCCGACCATCAAACATGCTCGACATTTAACTTGCCATAGCCCTCAAGTCGGCGCTATTATTATTACGTACTGTGCAGGTGCAGCGCATTGTCTCTCTGCAAGTGCGTTCCACCACTCGCACTAGTCACGCGTGAAGCGTACGTAGTGTGATTATTTATATATTTATTTCTAAATTGAAATTTGATTTCATTATGGGCTAAATACAGTTTGCACCCTTAAAGTATAGGGTTGGTAACACTTACCCCCTTAAAGTTACATATGTAACACTTACCCCCCTCTTTAATGAATTTAATGATAAAACTTTGACTTTGAATGATGTGTAATTTTTTCTTCCCAAATTGTCCTTCTAGCTATTATATTGATGCATATAATAATATATTTTCAATAATATTTCAAAAACTAAATTTTATAAAATATAATAATTATTAAAAAAATATTTTGATTTATGTTTAACTCCACATTTTAATTACTATAGACCCTAATATAAATAAAAATCTCAATTATTAAAAAATATATAAAATACGTTAAACATTTGAAAGAAAAAAAATAATTTCAAGACTTAAACATCCAATTTTTTTATAATAATTATTGATTTGGAAATTTATTTCAGTTACTTAAATATAAATTTCAATAAAAAAAAATATTTAAATATTTAGACGTTTAAATTATAATTTCTTATTAAATTTTGAATACATTTTGTGATTCTCAAAGTAAAAAAATGGGATGATTACATTAGAGTCATATACGCATAAAATAACTATATAAACTGTAAAATCATAATTAAAATTCGAATAATTGTTAATTTTTTATTAGCTACAAATGAACACAAGGTAATACAAAAATGAAACTAAAATTCCATTTTTTTCATTCCTAAATTTATAATATTGAAATAATAAAATTAAGTTTTTGCAAAGTTGCCGAATTTTTTATTATTACATATTCATTATTTATATAATTGCTAGAAGGACAATTTGGGAAACTAAAATGCCACATCATTCAAAGTCAAAGTTTTACCTTTAAATTCATTAATGAGGGGGTAAGTGTTACATATGTAACTTTAAGGGGGTAAGTGTTACCACCCCTATACTTTAAGGGTGCAAACTGTATTTAGCCCTTTCATTATTAATTATTGGGTAAATTATACCTACACCCCTGAGGTATGTTAAAATACTTTAAGGTTCCTGTAGTATCGATAATTACAATTACCCCCTGAAACGTTGTTAGAAACTATAACAGAATAATACATTGGATAAGTCATTCCGTTAGGGTTCTAACGAACTATTATTTTACTGTTGTGGTGGAGACAGCATAAAGTTAGGGAATGACATGGATCTCCTAACATTTCTTACATCCTTATTATTTTATATGAGATTTATAAATTTGCGTCTATAGTTCCATTAACGGTCCCGCGGGAAATAAATATAGAGCATATCGGTCCACAAAACATGAAATCTTGGCTCCGCTAATTATTTCAGGGGTATGACTGTTATTACCAATACCACAGGGACCTTAAAGTTATTTTAGTATACCTCGAGGGTGTAGGTGTAATTTACCCTTAATTATTTTGTCAAATTTATTTTGCACCTCTAAAGTAAAATCTATATAACGTTTAATCCCTTAAAGTATTATTTGTAACACTTATCCCCTCAACATCAATTATTTTGTATTTTAAAATTTAAGATATAATGAAATCTTAATATATTTCTAATTTCATTGGATGAAATAGTTGAAAATTAATTTAAGTATTTTATCGAAAATATCAATTGAAAATTCAATCCAATATTTAAAATTTTATATTGGTAGAATAAATAACATTACGATCTAATAATTATTGGATCGATGTATGGGCATTGACAATTAATTGTTCAAATTTATTTGAATTTTATTGAGTTTTAGTCGACATGGTTGACTTTGGTTATATTATTAGTCGAATCGAGCTCGAACAATGAGCACTACAAAACATAGTTTATTCAGTTCATTTTTAGTTGATTCGAGTTCTCTTATCAATGAAATATTAGTTTTCACATTGAGTAAATCGGATTTACTAAAATCGGATTTCAACATGGAAAATCTATATATAATATAAAAAGAGAATCTATGCCCTCAATGATTGACATGTGGCAAATGATGATGTCATTTGTCAAAATTGCTTAGTTGGAGTTCAATTGATGAGGTGGATTTTTCAATTGATTATGTGTCATTTTTATTTAGGTATGTTTTTAAGTTCTTTCCTATTTCACATTTACACAATCATTTAATAATTACCACATATTAACATATAATATTTCAGGAATTTAATTTCCTATCATTTCTAAAAATATTATATTTTTTATAGTTTTAATTTTTTGAACTATATTTTTCGTCTATTCTTTTTTATTTTTAAATTCAGAACACTCAATTTTTAACGAATATTCGATTTTTTATATCATATTTTACACACTATTTTTTTATAGCGAAATAATTATTATTATATTTAATTATCTATACACGGTTGATTAATTGTTTTTATCTCACGTTTTTAATTTAATTCTCCGAAATATATTTTTCGAATGTCTTTTTTTTTTTAAAATAGAACACTCATTTTTTATGATATATATTTTGGAATTTAGTTTTTTTAATAATAATATTCGAAAATAATAATAATAATACTAATAATTATTATTTTTACAAATCATTAATAATTATTAATCACTATACATGGATTTTTTTTGTTTAAATGTTTTGCCAACTTAATGTATATGCATTAATTTAATTTTATAAATATTAATAACTAAACAACATTTAAAATTGAAATTAAAATTTTTGTATTCCAAATTTTGAATTTCAAATATTTTTTTACTATAAATTATCAATCATTCCCCAATTTTATGTCATATAATTTGATTTCTTACCTTTTTAAGTTGATTGGTTT